CTAGACTAGAGAAATGTCATTAGAATAAGAGCAAGTTCAGTTTACTGTTCTGAGTCATCAGCCAATTACAAGTATACTGAAGATAGCATTTCACACTTCAACGCAGCTGTTTAACAAAGAAAGCCTCCACCATAAATTTCCAGTGTCTTCCCAAGTTAAGTCACAGTAAAACTGTCATCTAAGATTTTACTGTAAAGATGTCCACTTACCTTTTTAAAACACTAAAACATTTTTTTTTTTTTCAGTCAAATTCTACTACAGTCAAAAGTCGTTAATTCGGACACCCATAATCCGGAATGATCTATAATCCGAACCTCAATAATGTTGCAGATTGCGTTGTTCCTTAATCTTCTAATTGGATCCAGCTTATTATTTTTTGCAGACTGTTAGAGCAATTTTATAAAAGTAATTTTGAACTTTCGATTATGTCAAGAAGAATTTCCGATTCTGGAGCTATCAAAGAATCTACAAAGCGAAAGCATGTTCCGATGCCCATCAAACGAAAAGTGGAATTGCTGCAAAAAATGGATAAAGGCATATCCTTTGTCTATCTAAACTTTAACATTTGTTTATCTAAACTTTGTTTATCTTTAACGCTGCGGTGCGGTGCGCAATGAATTGGAAGTTGATCTGTCAGCACTATCCTTATCTTCAGGGCAGATGTTTTTATTTTATTTGGCTTATAATTCCTTACTAAATGTATTATTTCATCTCGATGTACTCCGTCTTTGATATGATTTAAATCAAATTCCTCGTCATTATAATTCGCTTCCGATAGCGAAGAAAGTAACAGAGGTTATTGAAAACGAAAAAATTTCGATTGACAAATTAGTCGGTATTCACGACGCAGCAATTATAGGACTTGAACAGTGGAACTTTGTTACTGAACAAGAAATTATGTCTGTTTATAGAATTAAAGAGAATGTATTATCACATAAAAAACGAAACAACTTACATTGAAAGAAATGTTTAATAAAGTAAACAAATAAATATTAAGCTTTTTTTTTTTTTGTTTGTTTTGTTTTGTTTTGTTTTGTTTTGTAAATTTTGATACCCTTTAGATCATAATTGTTCTTTATTTCATAAATTACGGTTTCATATTTTTAATTTTATAATTTCTGCATGCCATCTTACCAGATTTAAACTGATGATCCATAATCCGGAAAAATCGATAATCCGGAATCGCCGAAGTCCCGATGAGTCCGGATTAACGACTTTTGACTGTATTATTATTGTCATATTCCAATGACATATAATACATGACCTGCAATATCTTTTAGCATTTCCTCTGTACTATAAATGTATTTCAATTAATGTATAATTATTAAATATTTAACAGTAAAAATTATGGATATTCAAATAATTTTAGGAAATTCTTCCATAAGTTTAGGATGAAATAATACACAGAAAGAAACAAATTTTATTGACCTGTATCAAAAAAGCTTTGAAGATGACTGTGTAATATGAAATTGAAATTTTAAAATTAAACACAAAATACTTATGGTATGAAGATTTACGAAAATTTAAATACCCACTGTAGCAGAATATGATGATTCTCTTCCAAATTTCAAAATCCCAAAAATGTTTAATAATTTGTAGTTAAGCTTATTGACACTAACGTATATTTGAAGATGAGTACTTACACTCTGTCGCATAGATTCTAAAATTAGTATACATAAATGCATAAATACTTGTTTAGGAAACAAGTATAAAGTTTCTTCATAATTAGTAAAAATAAAGTTGTATGAAAAAAGTTTTGTGCCTTCTTAGAGAAATGCACAAAACATCATTTAATGAAAATAAGTTTTTTTACCCCAGATGGATCAAAAAGCAAAAATCACAATATATTTTAGGAGCATTAATATTTTTGGTTATTGTTATCTTTTTTATTTACGTCTTCAAACAACTATTTCTGTTTCATAAATTAATGACCTCAGATTCCCAGTTTTTACATTACTTATAAATTAAGCCGTATAATTTTTATCTTAAACATTAATTTATTAATGACAAAAATATGAAAAATACATATAATGTATTTGAACATATAATTAACGGAACCTATTTATCTATTAGAAAAGCTACGCAGTGGTGCCAAAATGAAAGAGAGTGATGCTAAAAGAGATTTTATAAGTGAAAATCGCATCATTTACTACTAAAACGTTTTAACTAAATTTTTTAATTGTGAAAATTGCTGAAATATTGCAATAAAGGAGGAGAATTCTTTTCTGAAATATTCCAATTGTCTGTGTAGTGAAAATTGCAATGTAATTCGTGTTCTTTCAGATGTTGAAATGCAATTTAAAACTATTAGGTCGTGTTCTTTCAGATGTTGAAATGCAATTTAAAACTATTAGGTCAACGCTGCCATTGATATGCTTAATATTTTCAGTAATTAATGTATCGAAATTTGCAAAGTAGTATATACTTTTAGTTATATGATGTCATTTTTATTATCATTATTATAATATTATTGAGGATTTCACATACTGAATGCTGTGGAAAGTAAAAGTAGAATAAAAATTTAAATAAATTAAAAGCAAAAGTGTAAATTTTAAAGTTTCATTTCAAATAATGATTAGAAAGTACTCCACAAAGGCATTATTCCCTTTAGGCAAATATTCCTCAAGTGCTTTATTATTATATAGTAATTCAACTCAGTTCCGTTTAAATAACATACAAATTATTGAGCATTACTGAATTCTACGATTAAATGTTTCACTTTGTTAAAAAGAATTGTAACTTATTGTATTTTTTCAAACAAAGGGAAATTAAAATATTTCTTTCAAAATAAATTTAATATCTTCAGAATTATCTTTTACAGATTAGTGTGAATTTTTGGTAGATGGGTAATTTACAGGCTAAGAAAACACCACAGCTGTTCTCTTTCCTAAAGCAAATCATGTTAAATCCTCAAGCATAAAATATGCTTAGTAAATAAGATAAATTTTAGAAGTTCTATGCCTTCAGATTTAATTCTCATTTAAGAATTTTAAAGAATTCTTAACCTGCACTTTATCTGCAATATGAGAAATTTTGAAAATTTTTAATATGAAAAATTGCATAAATATTGATTTACTCATTATTTCAAGTAAAAATATTCATCCATTCCATTTTCTCTCCGCATGAGTGAAGAAGAATCCATGAATTTTGATAAATTTAATGAAAAAAAATTAACTGGAATTTTGCCACTTAATGTTTAAGCAACTAGAATGAAACTTTGTGTTCTTAGCCTGTTGCATAAAACTTGCCCCTTTTTTCTCTGACCTTGAATTCATTCAAAGATCCCTAAGAAATGGGTAATCTCTCTTTTCTAAATGTGGTGTCATAAATTCTTTGCGTTTCCTGGGCGAGTACACCATTTCGACATGTGGGTGGCCTTTCATGCCACGACTACTCAACTTACGTCAGTGTACAGAACTTAATGAAAAAGATCTTTATGCCTCAAAGCCAAAAGGGTATGTGCTTTTTGGTCTTTGCAACGAAAGAGGGATTGCTTTAAATAATGCGAAGAACATCAGAACTGGAATGAACATCAGTGGCTGCATGTTCTCTTTGTTGATGAGTGATGCTAGTGCCAGAAAAGGTGAAAATAGTATGGCCACAAGAGCAACAAAAATTATAGGATTTTGGAAAGCATTGAGCAGCAAAATTTAGGGTAGGCAAAATTTATAGAATTTAGGAAGGCACTAGTCTGCAGACATTAGGACTTTCAGCGATTGCACCAGGTGGTGAAGTCCCTTACTGATGAGTTGAGGTTTAATTTAATATCTGATTTTAAACATGTTTACATGTGGAGGGGGTCAGGAATATGACATCTTGCTTTGAACGTTATTGAATGTGACTGTTTTAGTAATGCAGGTAAAATTGTATAGGGAGGTATAATGATCGATTGATGTATGTTCCTACTTGTTTACAATAGTGGATCTGTGGTCAGACAGAGATATTAAGATGATGCCTTAGAACTTCATGTAAGACTTTTCAGATGTGCATATGGGTTTGATTTTTTTTTATTTAAGGATGATAATGCTTGTCCACATTGAGCAAACCCCATTGATAAATTCCTTGGAAAGAAGACATTGAGTAAATACCTTAGCCAGAAAAATCTCCTGATCTTAACACAACAGAGAATTTACAGGAGCTAGTATATATAGTTGCAAGAAGACATCCTGCACCTAGAGATGTGAATGCCCTGAAGACCACATTGCTGGAGGAATTCCCCAAGCTATACTCACAGCATTATTGCTAGCATGAAAATTTGTTGTGGCATGTGTGTACAAGTCAGAGGAAATCACATTCTATATTTAATTCATAAGCCTAATTTTTTTTTTCCATATTTATTCTTTTTTTTTCCTGAAATCTTTTAACATGTTACCATTTTTGTTGCTTCATGCTGCTGTTTTATATCATATGTTATGCAATATTCTGTGTAAGTTTATAAAATTATATTTGAAAAATTCATGTTTTTGTGCATGTAAAGATAATTTTGTACATCAGCATAGGGAAATTTGAAGATAGGAATTGCATTGGTATAATATGAAGGAATTTTGGATTACATTCGATGAGATTAGCTAGTGAAGATGGATTTAAATTTCTCATTTCTGATGACAGTTGCTCTGAATTCCATTTCGTATACGATGTGTTAATTCATGCTGTATAAATTGTGTTCTTTCATACAAATGATTTTAATTTAAGTAATGTAATTTTTAAATGTATTGAAAGGCACAGAAAAGCTTTTGATAGTTTATGAGCCTTTGGACTGCAAATTGTGAGGAAAGCACATATGAATCTTTTACCTTTCTGTGGTCAAAAATACTCTTCAGAATTTAATATTGAATAAATTGATATATTTGCACATCGTGAAACATGATACTGCTATTTAACAAGTCAGTACTCTTAAATAATATGTTACCACTTATGTACATTTTTTTCAAAGCATTTATTTGTTGGAAAAAAAATCACTTAGTAAAATGTTTTGTATGTTTATAATTTTTAATCATTAGGTCCAGTTCCAATTTGTTCTTTTGACTGACACTCTTTATTCTCCACTGTTGCCTGACATGCTGAATCATGATGACTTTGACGAAGGTATGGAGAGGCCATATCCACGCACTATTGTTGCAGTTGAAGTTCAAGATACTAAAAATGGGGCAACTCACTATTGGACACTTAGTAAATTAAGGTATATTTTGTATACTTTTATGCAGAATGTTTTTTCTTATTAAAGTTGTTACTTATTTGGAATTTACCTGTAAAGTATTTTTTAAATTCTTTTCAGATTTTTAATAATTTATCAAGTATATTCTTTGCTTTTGTTATTTTTATTTATTTATTTTATTTTAGAGAAATAAATAATTTTATAACTGTTATATGTTTTATAAAGATATTTTATATTTACATTCTTCATTTATTAATACATATGCTTTTCTGGATTTTCTATTGAGCTAATAAAATAGTCTTTTCTTATTAATAAATTTTTTCAATGTGTGATAATAATATGAATAAATTTGTTTCTAATATCTGTATTTGTGAGCTAATAAAATAGTCTTTTCTTATTAATAAATTTTTTCAATGTGTGATAATAATATGAATAAATTTGTTTCTAATATCTGTATTTGTGTAAATTTTTTTCAATGTTTTTTATATATTTTTCATATTTTGTGCATAGATTTAACTTCTAAATTTAGAACTAAATAACCAGTATGTTGATTATTTAGCTCTAAATATATATATAGATATATATATATCTTGTAAAATATATTCAATGAACAGTTGCATGAGAATATATGCTTGCAAAATTCTTATGAAATCTTACATTGCAACTTAAATGGTGTAATTTTTAAATATTTAGAAAGGGGTAGAACATGATAAAATTTTTAAAATATATACATATATATTTAAATCTTTTATAGTTTATAGCATTTGCATTATATCACCACAGCATGCATATAATTAGAAGATGCAATAATATTTTTGCAAAATTTCCTAATAAAAATGTGCTGAATATCTTATATGCTAAATATATTATCCTTCTGAATGAAACTGCCAACTTCGTTAATTACATGAAATGCTTTAATAAATTTAGTAATTTCTTTTAGAAAATTTATTGCTGTCTGTAGGGCTAATCTCTAAATTTGTGGACAGATTTATTTTTCTCTTTATTTAGTAAAAAATTGTAAACATTTGTATGTCATAAATATCTGTGATGTGCGTACAATATAAAAAATACAAAATGCATAACAAACTGCATTAATTTACTCTATTTTACCTATGCTGTGTGTTAGATATCCTCATGTATATTCATGCATTATTTGAAATAAGCTTAAAAAAATTTTTTTTTTAATACAGTCAAAGTCGTTAATTCGGACACCCATAATCCGGACCTCAAAGCTACAAACTTTCTCCGCATGCGTCTAGTTGACGCATGCGGGTAAGACCTTTACGGCTGCAAATATACATGTGCGCATGCGCATAATACTTTTACGCATGCGCGTTTAATGTATCACGGACGGTATAAGCTAAGCTAAAAATATCTAATTCAGTTAAGGTTGCAGATTGCATTGTTCCTTAATCTTCAAATTGGATCTGGCTTATTATTTTTTGCAGACTGTTAGAGCAATTTTGTAAAAGTAAGCTTGAACTTTTGATTATGTCAAATAGAATTTCCGATATATATTTACTGATATGTAAAGGATCTACAAAGTGAAAGTATGTTTCGAAGTCCATTAAACAAAAAGTGGAATTGCTGTAAAAAATGGATAAAGGCATATCCTTTGTTTCTCTAACCATTCTGAAATCTGTTTATCAATTTCACGCTACTCCGCAGCGGAGGAGGGGGAATGCCGCGGTGCACAATGAATTGGAAGTTGATCTGTCAGCACTATCCTTACCTTCAGGGCAGATGTTTTTATTTTATTTGGCTTATAATTCCTTACTAAATGTAATATTTCATCTCGATGTACTCCATATTTGATATGATTTAAATCAAATTCCTCGTCATTATAATTCGCTTCCGATAGCGAAGAAGTGACAGAGGTTATTGAAAATGAAAAAATTTCGATTGACATATTAGTCGGTATTCACGACGCAGCAATTATAGGACTTGAACACAGCGGAACTTTGTAACTGAACAAGAAATTATGTCTGTTTATAGAATTAAAGAGAAAGTATTATGACATGAAACGAAGCAACTTAAACAACTTACATTGAAAGAAATGTTTAATAAAGTAAAAAAATAAATGTTTTTTTTTTTTTTTTTTTTTTTTTTTTTTTTGTAAATTTTGATACCCTTTGGATAATAATTGTTCTTTATTTCATAAATTACAGTTTCATATTTTTAATTTTATTATTTCTGCATGCCATCTTACCAGATTTAAACTGATGATCTATAATCCGGAAAAATCGATAACCCGGAATCGCCGAAGTCCCGACGAGTCCGGATTAACGACTTTTGACTGTATATATTTTAAGTTCTTCAAATATGAGCACTTATCCCATTGTTCAGTAAAACTTAAACGCATCATTTAAAATTTTTTAAGCCACAGCTTTCTTATATTTTTTTGATGAAAAAAGGAAAAAATGTAAATTATTTTGAGAAGTGAAAAGCTACTCGTTGGAAACTTCTCCTCTAGGGTTGCCATATTTATCGGATGGTGCAAGGCGCGCTCCTTATTGCCATCACCACAGAGTTTCCCCCCAGTTCCTTTGATCGCCATTCAAAGGAATGACATCAGGTTATGAAAATATCTCAGAGGATCCGTACTGTGGGTATTTTTTTCATAATTACAAAATTAGAATATAAATTTGGAAAGGACAAAAATGCAATTCAATATATTGTTGCGTGCTTACGGGTTCGTTACAAAATGAATGCACAAGTCCGATAAAAAAAATGAAGAAATTTTATGTTTATCACAACAAATATGATTAAATGTCCTCAAATAATCGTGCAGTTTCACAATATATCAGACAGTAGTATCTTCTAACTACTCAAATGTTCAAGAGAACTTAATTCGAAAACAGCTAAAGAAAGCTAATCTGCGAATTCGCTACAATCAACAAGAGCAGTTTTTTTAAACAAACTCTTAGAACAACAACAAACTAACTAACTCTCGAATTGAGAGGTTTTCCTCCTATTTATAAGATTTTAAAATCGCGCGCGAGAATTTTCTAGTACTTTCTCGAAATCAAAAAGAGATATTTATTAAATATTTAATGCACGCGCTCTTGTATTTTCAATTTTCCAGCTTAGCTTTCTTTTAATATTTGTCACACACTGCACTGCGCGGGAAATAAAACCATTTAATTTATAATTGAACTAACAGTAGCTTTTTAAATACCAAATTCATAACAATATAACAAGGTAATGAATGACACATATAATAAACATGAAATAACAAAAAATATATTACGATATGAATTTTTTAAAAAAAAGGTTTTGAATTGTTATTTAAGAAGCTAGTTTCTTAGGGAAGTGAACATGTCTTCCCGATCTGGTGACAATTTGTGTCTTAGAGAGTTCGTTTGCAGAATTATTCTGTTGAACTGTTATTAAGTCTTTTTTTTTTTTTTTTTTTTTGTTTGTTTGTTTGTTTTGTAAGTTCAGGCAAATTAGAGTCCGAAAGCAAATAAGCTGGTTTCACACGATCTATAGACACAGTAGATTTCAGACTGTTAATATCAATTGTGAAAGTTTTGTCCGTTCTAGAAAGGACTTTATGCGGACCTGTATATGGTTGGCGGAGAGGTGGCTTTACTCGATCGACACGACACGTAAGTATACATGCGTACACGACTTTAAGGTAGCACTTACGTAACACTTTTCTTGGCAATGTGCAGATGTTGCTATTGGATTTGATTGTTGCATTCTATGCCAAAGATTCATGATTTGAGTGTCATACGGAGATATCTTAGATGATGTTATCATATCAATAGGCAGCTTGAGAGTTGTGCCGTACACCAGTTCAACACAAGATGACTGTAGATCCTCCTTTATGGCTGTCCTTGAGAGAAGATTTTAAATGTCGATGAAATCATTCAACAATGCTGTTGGACATTGGATGATAGGCTGTTGTTGTGATTCTGTTCGTACCTAAAATGCACCTAAATTCTGCAAAAATTGTGGATCTCATTTGAGAACTTTGTTCTGTTGTTATGATTGATGGGCAGCCAAAACAAGTTATCCAACAGTTTAATATGGCTCTGCAAATGGTTTCCATTTTCATAACTGGGATGGGAATGGCTTCAGGCCACCTGGAGAATCTATCTATTAGAGTCAAAAGGTAAACGCTGCCCTCTGATGGAGGTAACGGTCCAGCGATATCCATATGGATTTCTGAAAAACGTGCATCAGGAAGAGAGAATGGGCCCAATGGTGCTTTAGTATGCCTAGTAATTTTTGATTTTTGGCAGGATTCACAGGATTTCACCCAATTTTTGATATGATGTTTCATATCGGGCCATACATAACAAGAACAAATAAGCTTCGTAGTAGCTGCAATTCCTGGATGTGACAGATTATGCAGATGATTAAAGATGAGTCTGCGAAAGGAATTCGGAACAAATGGACGAAGGAATGTCCATTGATATGTCACAAAGAATATTACCATCAGAATATTGGCACGGTTTAAATTCCAGTTTCAAAGATGATGTATTGTTTTTGAGAAGGTCTTGTACCTCCGGATCATGCTGTTGAGCTTCCGAAATTTTTTTTAAATCCAAAAATGGAGATTTTGTTATGGAATCAATTTCAATTCTTGAAAGAGCATCAGCAACAATGTTTTTTTTTTAACCTTGCACATGCCTAATATCAGTGTAGAGTACTCAGAAATAAAATGGCACAATTTTCGAGGTTAATATTTATGAGGGTTCTGTTTAAAAGCGTATATTAACGGTTTTTGATCCATATAAATAATAAAATTTCTGCCCTCTAACATGTGTCGGAATTTCTTAATTGCAGAATAAATTGAAAATAATTCCTATCGTACGCGGACCATTTCTGTTGACTTTTATTGAGTTCGTAGAGAAAAATGCTATAGGTTCCCGGGTTTGTTGAGACAACTGCATAAGTGTGCCGCCTATTGCGACGTCTGAGGCATCTACCCAGATGCTGAGCTGGGCTCCGGGAATAGGGTGTCTCAAAAGGGTAGCCTGAGCAATGGCATTTTTGGCAGCAATAAAGGCTTATTCAGCATTCTCGTTCCAATGTAATTGTGAGGATGAATCCTGAACATGAGAATGAGATTTCTTTTTATTAATATAGCCTTCTAACAATTTTATTAAAGGAGAAAGAATATGTGCTGCTTTAGGTATGAAACATCTGTTAAACATGCCTAAAAATCGGTGAAGCTGAGTAAGAGTGGTAAATTGAGGAAAATCTAAAATACATTTGACTTTGTCAGGAAGAGGTTCAATTCCATTTTCACTAAGGTGAAAACCTAAGAAATCAATAGATGTTTGACCAAAGTTACATTTTGAAACATTTATGCAAAGTCCATATTCCTGAAGTTTGGAAAATAAAGCTTTCAAATGCCTGCAATGTTCCTCAGAATCTTTAGAGGCTATGAGCAACTCATCAACGAAAGCATAAACACCTTCTAAATCCCACGTGACTTAATCTATAAAAAGTTGAAAAGTCACAGATGCATTGCATAAGCCGAATTGCATACGGGTGCTTTCGAATAAACCAAATGATGTGCATATGGCAGTTTTTGTGGATGTTGGCTGGGTTAATTGGTATTTGATGGTACGCCTTAATCAGGTCGACATGACTAAAAATTTTAGTACTATGCAATGCAGCAGTAAAGTCGGCTAAGCATGGAATAGGGTATTTGTCTTTTATTGTTTGAGCGTTCAATGCTTGATAATCTCTTACAGGTCTCCATTCCAGACTTGCATTTTTTGGAACCATGTGAACTGGGGATGCATAATTGCTGCTCAAAGGTCTCAAATGCCCCAATTGCATCATAGTTTGAAATTCTTGTTTTGCTATTTTTAAGCAATCTCGAGCTAACGGACGAGGTTTTGCAACCACAGGTGGACCTTTAGTTATGATATAATGAACGGTGTTGTGTTTAACAGGTTGGTTAGGATCTGGTAATTTAGTAATTGAAGGAAATTCTTTTAAAATTTTGTGATATGGTGTATCACTAAACACAGTTTTTACTGAATAAATGCCTGCATTTTTCACGCAGCCGACAGGTTTTAAACTGCGTTTTTAAATCTTTGAGACATTTGTTTCTGAGATCAGGCACCAATTCAAAGAAATGGAGAAAATCTGCTCCAAGAATGGGTGTACTAACATTTGCTGTAAGAAAAGTCCATGTAAACTGTCGTCTTATTTGAAATCCGAAGAAAGTGTTTTTTGACCATAAACATGAATAGTAGAAGAATTAGCAGCAAAAAGTGTTTGTTGGAGAGAATTCCGTTTTTGAGAATTATTTGCTGGAAGTAAGGACACGTCAGAGCCGGTATCGACCAAGAATGAAAGGTATGTTCTACGGTCACGAACGAACAGGCGATGTGAAACTTGAGGCAAAGAATAAGTCGCCTCTATTCTTTGCTGGTTTTGTTTCCCTGCCACGAACAAGGTTTTTTTTTTTTTTTTTTTTTTGTACATTGGTCTTCTCTACACTTTTTCCCCAAATGTCTATGATACCAGCAAACAGAATAATCTATCCTTTTGGAATTGCTTTTTTCGTTATTACGATCTCTGCGATTTGGCTAGTGACCACGAGAAAGAGAAATGCGATCAATACGTTTGTTTAATTTTTCTATTTCTTTAAATAATTTATCCTGAAAAGACTTATCGACTGTGCGAGAAACGGCACAATTCCCTGGGGTTGGATTTACTTCTAAAATTCTGTCGGCAATTTCTGCAGCTTTATCTACTGTTAAATTGGAAATCGCTGCCAAATAGACTGAACAGTCGAAGGCAAATAATATAACATTAAGTTATCAGGAACATTTAAAGATTCTGCTCGACGTTTCATATTCTAAGCAAATCAGAAGGTTTTCAAGAACCTAATTCCTCTCCAGATAATAATTGGCGAATTTCGTGCTGAGAAGATTCTCTTGATCGATTTATTAACTCAGTTTTGAGCTTTGTATATTTATCAATAGGGTCTGGTTTCATAAGTAAATCCCGCACTAATGATGCAATATCTGGAGGAAGATGAGCAACTACATAATTATTTTTAGTAATGGTGTCTGTGATAGGTTTTAGGGGGTGGCAAGAGCAAAGGTATTTTCACACATAATAAACCATAAAGATGGGTCTGATCGGTTGTAAACCGGAATTTGGACGGCAGGAACATCAGACATTCTGCAAAGTTTTTAAGCCAAAATAAAAGCAAACATTTAACTAAAGAAAATGAAATTAAATGATAAGTAGGAAACAAAATTATAAAATGATCTATAATTACTACTCATCTGTGATTCAGAGGATGAAAAACGGTATAATCCATTACTTCTGGTTTGGAGATCTTGAGTGATGGCCTTGTAGTCAAAACCGAAAGTGCTTGAGAACTGTTCATACGGCCTGATTTAGCACAGTTCAAGTCACCATTATGGTGATTCCTATCATGTTGTTACCTGTATGTTTTACCACCAATCCTCGCATTCCATATCACAGATCGTGTTCTTACTGCATTAATATAAATATTAACTAGACATAGTGCACAATAAAAGTTAAGCTTTATTTCGGAACTCCCGACGGCCGGCCCGTCTCGCTCCGCTTGCTACTCGTAAGAAACTTCTCTAGGGTTGCCACATTTATTGGAGGGTGCAAGGCGTGCTCCTAATCACCATCACCACAGTGTAAAGTGGATGCTAGCAGCATTTGTTGTTGCAGAAGTTGCTGCTGTTATGATTGTGGGATCCTCGCACTCATTTGGAGTTCCTGGGGCACCCTGACCCTCTGTGATGGCAGATTATCCCTTCTGTGATCCATTGTTGCCAACACCGAGCAACTACTATATTGCTCTGACTGCTGACTGAGGTGGCGACCGATTCGCCTGTTCAACCAACCTGCTTCTCGGAGGTCTTTTATATGTCTGTTCTCAAAGTCTGACAACTGTTTGTACTACTGCCAGTTACATCTCAAAGGTATCTGTAGTCACAAATCTATCCATCCAAGTCTATAGATTTATTTGAATAGCCTTATAGTACAAGCAATCGTGCTTTTAAACTGTTTTAACTGTGCATTTCATTTGCGCATAGGTCACTTACCCGTCTCGTTGGTGTCAAAATTTAAATCATTTGCATATATCTTGCCAGATTACATTCCTGTGCATATATTTGTTTTGTTATTTTATTTCTCTGTTAAGAAAAATTCTGCTCTTTAGCATCATGATATTTTTATTTCTTAAGTTAGGAAATGAAACTTTTATGTTTCTCATTAATCCCAATGTGTAATATTTGAATGATGTATTTATTCCTTATATCCCCCCCTAAAATGTAAAGAATAATTCCACATTATTTTACATTTGAAAGTGATCTGTGGTTAATGCAGTTTTTATTATTTTGCATTGTGTTCAGACAAAATATTTATACGATTATAATTATTAATTTCTCTGAAGATACTTTTTTGTCCTTAAGCAAATGCAATAGCAATTAGCAACAAGTAAATATAATAGCTTGTTTAGTTAATGTTTAATTTCTTTACATTTACTAACATTTAAATAAATGTATCAAATGTTTTCATTTGTGTAGTTATAAAAACATTTTTTATTAATTTAAGCATAGCTAAGTGAATATTTATTCAGTTTTGAAGTGAATAAGAGATGTTTTTTCATGTATGAGGAATTAAGTAAAATACATATGTTATAAAGTTTTTTCTTTATAATTTTTATGCTGTTAAAAAAAAAAGAAAGAAAAAGAGATTTAAACAAAATAATCTTTAGTAGTTATTGATAGATTTTTATTTTTGCATATTTCTGGACCTTGCATCAGACTTGGCAGCACTTTGTGGTAAATTAATTACATTATAAAACCCTTTGTTGCACATTATTGATATTCATAATATGCAGTTGATATTTTGGGACATTTGTATCGTGTGTAAATTTTTTCTCTTCTTTATTCCTTATGCAATTTACCTAGCTATCCTGAGTAGATACCCTCTGCATCACTAATTATGCATGTTCAATAGAACTTTATATAGTACACGCTGTTACTTGCATGCTCCAAAGTAAGTAATTTTTCTAAAAATGTACTGTAATGACTTGTAGACATCGGCTGGAACTTATGCGCAGCACATATAATGAAGACACTTCCCCAGAATCCCCTGAGACTCATGATGATTTTCTGCAATGCATCTCAGCGTGTGCTAAGCAGCGGCTATCGGCCGGCCTCGCCATTAACAGCTTAATTCCTTCGAGAAACAGGTTGGTCCTGTTTTTGCCGCCCTGTCGTAAATCACACAACTTTTGTGATGCGCTATACAAGTCGGCCGAATCAGTGTCCCATTTCTGCTGTCTCTTGTAGGGTGGCCACTGTTATTATTTCTTTCAGTGACTATGCAAGTAACCAAAACAATTCATTTACTTCATAGTAATAATGTATCAGTATTCTTTATTTGAAATAATGTAATTATTTTCTTTGCCGATGATTAATGGTAATCCATATTTCATTATCATGATCAACATTAGGCTTAATGCCAGTTATTTATTAAAAGACATAAATAATCTATAATAATGCATATTTTTACGATTGTTTAAAATATAGCCTGGACTTCTGTGACACTTTTATCATGTTTCTATATAAACTGTTTCATTTTTGGAAGGGGGGGGTAATTGAAAGCAGGAAGTATTTTATACTAAAGTTAATTCTTGCATTTCTACTGTATGTGAAAGATAAAAATTGCAGTTTTAAACAAGTAATAAAGAATGGAAAATAAATTATTTTGTTTATATACAAAGTTTTTAATATTTACTTAATTTTTTCCATAATAAATTTATTGATTACTTTATTTTTTGACTCATTAATATTTAATACATAAGTAGTTAAAGAATTTATAGTTAGAAAAATGAAAATAATTTCATTATCTCAAATAATAAAAGTGCATATGTATGAAATATTAAATTTCAATATGTTAGTATTGAAGGGAACCAAAACATATCTGTTTAATAAAACGGTATAATTTTGGTTAAAGCATATTTAGTGGGGTGAGAATATTTAAAATGATTTATAATTACTATAATTAAATAAATAATTATAATTAAAAATCATGATTATAACACTGAAGATTAATAACAGATGTAATATCTCTTATAAATTCAGAACTCTGAAAAATAAATCATTACTAATTGAGACATTTGTTAAATATACTGCATCTTCCATTACATTTTTAATCAGTCAAATATTAAAATAACTGCATAAATTGAATAAATGTTTATTTGAATATTAAATGAATGCAAATAAATAAAATCAATATTTTCCCCCTTGTAGCAGTTTATTGCACTTTTTGGGTATATAAATGTATCATTTAAAGAAATGCCATTTCTTGAAAATTCTGTTTATTTTTATTATTGCTGTTACTATAATGCTCTGATTTATTAACTCTTTAGAACTATGTAATATTATCTGTTATTCATACTGGCATAATATTCTGCAATAATTGCAAGTCAGGTATACTTAAAATTTGTTGAAGATGATCTGATTAATGTTAACTGAATCAAATTAGATATGCACATATACCTTTTGTTTAAAGGATAGTGAACCCCCACTAGTGCAGAGTACAGTCTCATTGCTCTAGCATCTGTAACAGGTATTGGGAATCTATGGCACACATGCCAGATTTGGCTTGAGGAACCATTCTACAAAGTTATCAGGCGAAGATAAATCTCTCTGTCTCGCCTCTCTGAATCGCCAGGAAAGTTTAATTACCAGAATTTTGTTGCAGCACTTAATTTCTGGAATGAACACTGTTGTTAAAATAGTTAATTTTATAGTATCTCATTCGTCATTGGTACGCAGGCGATTTAAATCTCTTTTAGAAGAAATGGAAAGAGAATATGTGAATGTCCCCTTATACAGCTGTGTCCCTTGGTTTAGGTACTATCTTGAATAAGTTTGCGACATTGCATGGCTCACATTAAAGTTTTTCTTAATGAGAAGAATCAACATTTTCTCAAATTGAATGATAAAGAATGGTTATGCAAATTGATGTTTTTGACTGATATAACTAAACATCTTAATGAACTAAGGATTGCAAGGAAAGAGCCAAACAGTACTAGAATTTTCGAAAGCTTTGCTACCAAATTAAATATATTTTCCAATGATAACAATACTAGTGTTTATAAATACTTCTCAATTCTAAAGCACTTGCAAATACATCAACCTTAGACACAAATGAACTTTAAACCTGTGTTGAAGCACTTAAGGAGGACTTTTCCAAAATATGCAAAGACTTTAAAGTTTGCATGCCTATATTTTCTTTCCTTCCTAATTAAGCCAGATTTAATAGACCCATTGATAATCCACCCAATTTTTCAATTTGTGGTGGATGCAGGTTGATAATTTTCAAATGGAACTTATTGAAAAAACATCTTCAGAATTCTGCAAATTTAAGCAAAATTTATGGAATTATGACTAAATTTGGAAGATAATTCTAACGATAGATCGACAGCTGTTTTAAATTGCTGGATCTCAGTGCCAGAGAGATGTAATTTTTGAAGAAAATTGCATGTGCTCTGCTTTCCACTTTTGATTCTGCATATCTATGTGAACAAGTTTAGCAACTGAATATTCAGAAGCATGTGTCAAATTGAAAGTCACAGGCAAGCTCCTGATATCACAATAACAAGTAAAGCGATACAGGGACAACTTTTACATAAATACGTAACACATGACATATGTACAATTTAAATTTTTTATATATGTTGAAGGAATAGGCATATCTTATGTTTATTTTTATGTCAGTAAATACCTTTAAATGATACATAATGAATGTATAATAAAACTCTAAATCTGTATTTTTGTTTTCTGTTCCCTAACTCTGCATGCATTGTCGCAGGAATCGAATTGTTGCTGTGCAACATCCTGAATCATATTGGTAGACTGGTTTGGCGGTTGCTGATCCCTGATCTAAAAGGTTAAAAAGGCAGTAAATAGGGCTTACTTTTGTGAATTTTCTTTTCTGTCATGGGATATTTGGCTGTATTTCTTCATGAGTGTTGAAGAAGAATTTAGAGCTAAAATTATTTCTTAATTCTGCTTACTTTTGGGTTTGGTAAAAGGAATTGAATGCTATTGATTTCATAATATGAATGAAAAATTCCAATTCCTTTGGCTATTTTGTTTTATTGGCATTGCAATGTTGTCTTATTTCATAAAACTGAAAAATGGTCTCCATTTTTGAACTTTTTTATTTCAAAGTTTTAATATGATTCAGTTTAATTCAGTTCATTCTCTTGGTTGAGAAATGTTCATTATTTGGTATGTCAAATTTAGTAATATATTCTGCATTTTTCTCATCTGTTTGTTTGGACTGCATCTTGCCACATATGAATTAGAACTGTAATTCTGTAGCAGCTTTTCTGAGGCATAAAGTTACTTTCCATTTTTATGAGTTTTTTATTTTACTCATGACTGAGTGGTAAAATTACTTGAATGTAATTCACAATAATATCTATAAATAGTCAAACTCCATTATAATGAATTTTAATGGACCCAAAGCTTGGTTTACTGTATCCAATTTGATGAGGAAAAAATGGCTACTTTTTTAAAAAAATCATAGTTTAGACTCGTCAGAAGACTTTTAAGTTTAAGACTCATTTAGAAAGTAAAAGCACTTTCACATCTCTGTCTAAAATACACTTTAATAATTGTCATTTGTCTACATGTTTGCAGATTACAGTTCCATTGAATGGTAAACCATTTTAGCAATCTTCTTCAACATCCTTATGCTTGGCTTGTTTAAAATGTTTCTTCAGATCCAAGTTTTTTTTTATTAGTATGAATCCATCGAATCTCGATTTTCTTGAATCATAAAAACTGTAGATTTAAGTAAATATTCCTGGTAAATATTGATTTGGCTGTGTACATTTTATATTGTTTTTAATAATACCCTATCTTCAGGACAGAATGCTATAAATTTACCACTTGGCATATGTATGGATTTGTGACACCAGAAATTTCCCCAGTACAGAATGAGAAGAGTTAGATAAATGAACATGAGAGGTTTCTCCTTTTTAGAAAATATGAAAATGGATGATAATTTCATCAGTAATTTGCCCTGTTCAGTGACCAATGAGAATGCATTTATATTCTCCAAGATATTTGTAAAGGTGTAGCAGCCCTTATAAAGAATAGCCTAAATTATCTAAAGAATGTAAAACTCTTATTCAGAAGTTAAAACTTTGGCAGCATTTTAAACACTGAAACCAAACAAACCAAATAAGGATTAAAAATGTCCATTCTCTGAAAACATTATATGTAAAATTTCTTATTGTTGTAATGTGTTTGGTCCAATGTAATATGGTTTACATTTAAAAAAAGGGGGTGGGGTAGAAGAGGATATAGGAATGATAATTATGGTATATTTGATAAAGTACTCAAAATTTAAATATAAAATTGTGGTCACCCTACTGTTTGCTTTTTAAATTTTTATTTATATTTTTTATTTTTTGCTGAAATTCATGTTTTATGATTAAAAAATTATAATGTTTAATTTCTTATCAGCCTAGAAAGCATTTTATAATTTTGTCAATCTGAAATTCTTTATCTGGAAAAAAGACTATATTTTTATGTTATGCTTTATCATTTGCTAGTTTATAAAAGTTCTATTTGTTGAATCACATACTTGCATTAAATATAATATAAACTGTTTATTTTGTGTAAGAATTGAGTACATTTTTATGCACAACTAAATTAACGACTGAAAAATTATACTTAAAGTATAATGGAAAAAATTTATAGTTTACTAACTGGTCGAAATATGTCTGTTTTATAAATTATGCCTCTTAAATAAAAATTTGTTTTAAAACTAGGAAATGAATGAATAAAACTTGCAATCAAAAGAGAAGCTGATAATTCAGTATCTTATTTATTCAATTAAAATTGCATTTATTTTCTTCTCCCTAGTAATTTTGTTGTGTATATGTATGCATGTGTATACACATGCATAAATAAGTTTTTATGAAAAAAGTAAAACACTTTTATTTCTGTACATTTTACATGTGTATTTACTTATTTGTATCCGTATGTGAGGGTATGTATGTTTTGAATAAAATAGTAAACTTGTGATTAAAGCTTGACATAGCACAAATTAAATAAACGTTCATTAATTTTGTCCCAATTTTATTATTATCATTTCGTCATATTTTTCCATTATTTTATAACTATCTCTAAATAATGTAAATTTGTTTATTACACCTCATATTAT